TAGATACAATTAGTCAACTAATTATGTTACAGGAGGTATTTGGAGGATTAAAAAAATCTAACTTGCTAAAGGAAAAACTAATAAAACTTGCACAGAAATCTAATTTCTGTAATATTTCACAGCTCCATTTGTTAATTCATAGAAGACTGTTTAAGCCAACGTACAGAGACAGACTGTAGTAATAACATTATCTAAAGCGAAATCCCAGAGCTGCTCCACAGACAGTGAATAATGGAATTACACTTGTGACACTACAAGTGCACCCATGGTAATTTTACTGAGACGTGACAATCTCTGATGCATAGCTCCACAATAAAAAGGATTTTGAAAAAAAAAAAATCTCCACGGAAAATGTATGACGGATCTACTTCTGCAACATTATTAACTCCAGTTTTGATGTTATAATTTCTACTTTAGGGGCTATTAAGCTGGTATCTAACTGTAATAGCAAAATATAAAGTTGGTTTAAAGCTGGTTTTTCCATTTAAAGCAATTGACCTAAGTGTTCTGAATTGACCTCCTCTTACAGGCCCTGTGAAATTGGCCAGAAGATGTGCAAAAAACAGGAGACTAGTCCCCATCCTCTGAGGATGGTTCATGCTGCTGAAAGGGCAGTAACCCTCTCACTCTCTAGTCCTATAATCCTGCCCAAAGATACAAACAAACAACATAGTGACACAAAAATAACAAAATCGTCTTTAGCACCACTGAAGAGCAAATTGTTCCAAGTGAACAGCAATGCACTTTGTTCAGATAGCAAGATATGAACAATACAGAGAAACAAAAACCTCTGAGCAGGGCAGAAAAATGAAAACAGGTTGTGTCAGCAATTCTAAAATGCCTTTAAGAGAAGCTTGAAATGTCTTGTGGTTTGAAGGACTGCAGTTCAGACTAGAGAGCATGTAAAGAGCATATTCTCAATTCGTGCCTTAAAATAACCTCAATCCAGGCATTGAGGTATGCCACAGCAAGTATACAGTATACCACAGTAGGGACAATATTACAATGACTTGCACACTACTCTGGTCTGTAGAAACATGGGCTCAAAAAGCAGTCCAATCAAGGAAACAACCTTATTTGTTCAAGTAAGTGTCGGGTTCAATAACTAGCTACACCAAATGAATACAAATCAAGGTAATTCACTGAGCAAACTGCAGTTGAAGGGTAAAAAGGATCATTTATCATTCCTGCACACAAGAAATTAATTATAGTGTTTCTGTGTAATTAATATGCAAGGCTAGTTCACAACTGCTATGCAATTGGCATTAGAGTAAAATCCAAGCATGCAAGAATGGCAACATCTCTGACTTTTTTCAGTCTCAGTCTTTGTTAAACATGAGATACGAAGCACCACTCAAGTGACCGTTACCAGTAAAATACAGACTATTCCTTTGTGTGATTGGAGAGATCCATCTTGTTTATGAAAGTGGTCATGGTCAAGTGGCATAGTCCTTGAAATTCTAGAGGATCATTTACAGCATAGTGAAACAATGAGGAAAAAAAAACAAAGAAACGAGAACAAATTAAATATATTTAACTGAAATAATTCCCTTTGGTAAACGTGCTTTGTTCTCATTGTTGCATATCTTCTTTCTTACTATTATTCCTGCTGCTGGAAAGCCATAGAAACCATGTCATTGGCTGTTGAAGAGTCTTAAATAAAACCCACCACATACAGGATCATAACATAATAAATATTGTTTGGGGCAGCAGTTAAAGCCTAGTTTCTCTTGCTGAAAACTTGCTGCGCAGGCCTTTGTATGGGTTTGTCGTTGCCAAGGCGTTAACCATTGAAGCATACTTTTCCAACTTGGAATCCAAACTTCTGGTTGCTGCCGCCAAAGTCTGCCGGAGCAACATCTATAATAGGAAGTAATTCTGCTGAGGGTGAGTCAATCTCTAAGACAGTATTTTCCTGACCTTTGCGAAGCTGAAAGAGAAGAATGAAAGCAATTAATGGAATTTGCTCGGCTTAAATCGACTACTACCTCTCTCCACTTTCCTCTTAATCCTAATTCAAGTCACTGATTTGGTAGTCACCCATGTACTGAATCAAACACTAGCCGACAACAGCAACACAATTGACAAACACATTAGCTTCATTAAGGTTAATTCCCATTTGTGCAGCTAGTCCCTTTCCCTGGCACTGTTACTGCACTGACCTGGCATCCATCATGCACTGCATTGATGAAAGGGCTTTTGGCTTGCGTCAGCTCCTCATCGTTGCTCCCCCGGAAGAGGAGGGCATGCTGGTAGGAGAGGGAAGTGCTGTCAAACCAGCCTGCTGAGTTCTGGCAGTTATAAGTGAAGGACTGCTTGGCCGTGGCACTTAGTAGTTTCAGGAAGGTCAGCTGAACTACATGAACAGGGTTCCCATCTCTGTCATTGTAGGAGAACTGAATGCCACAGATACACAGGTTTTAGTGTCCAAACTAAGCAAAAAAAAATGTTCAAAACATCACTCAAATCTCACAGAGTACACGGAACCCTCCACTTTCACCCCAACAATAAGGCTACACCTCACTGAGATTAGGAAAAAATAACTTGTTATTAAATAATTTCAAATTATAATGAAGGCATTTACATGTGCGAGGGTGAAAATGACAGTGAAGGAAAATTAGAAAGCAATGGAATTAAGGGAAGGAAAAAAAGAATCTATTCCAATGACCTGGTGTGAATGAGTCAGTGAATTACAACTGGCAGCTCTGTGATTATCTGAGAGGGTTATGAGACCTCTAAATAGGTGCACATGAGAGACCACGAATACTAGTCAATGAGACACAGCTGCCAGTGACTGTGTGAGTCACTCTGACTGCTGAAATCAAAGGCTGGCAATATCATATTAGCTATGTCATTGCATGTGATCTACTAAATTATTATAAAATTACACAGTAAAGAGATTTACAGAGAAGCACAAAAATATGTTTGCAACCAGGTGCACTTGGATGGACACACAAACGTACATCTACAGAATCACATGAACATAACCTTAAATATTAGTATGACTCAGGTAAATTACCCAACAGCAGCTCTGATAAGTAGTTTACCTGAAAAGAACTGCCAGGCGTCTGGAACTACTTGAGATGAATGCTAGGAGGTGGGGTTGGTTAGGTTTAATTATATGTTTATTTTTGTTGTACCTGCTTGCCTTTCCTGAATTGGCTGTACCAGCTTCCTGGTTTCTCTTTGTTCCATGCTGCTAATTTCACCTAGATACAAAGAGGAACACAAGTACTGTTTGTAGTGCAAAATTATAAGGATCAAGGGATATAGTGAGCAATTTGTTGTCTGATTTGTGCATTTCAAAGACTTCTATCAAGAGACTGGAGACTCACCATCTCCGACTTTTTGTCAGGGAAGAGACAGGTCTGTCCATCAGCAGTGAAATTACAGAACACCTTGATGGAGTCTCTGTTACACCCCTGGTTAGGATCTATCCAGTAGTCACCTGCAAAACCCACAGAATAATGGCGTCAATCAATTACACCAAATGCTGATATAATGAAAACAACTAAGGTAACAAAATGGTGAGCAGCCTCTTGACTTAAAAGGGTGAGGGTTAAAGAAGATGCACATCACTTTTCTTTGAAGTAGATTTCTGATTAAATATTTGTTGGCAGCAAGTGATGAAAGAAGCATTAATTACTAAGCATATTTCTTGCTAACCATCTTTGTATTTCGGTTGAACCATCATGAGCTCTTTGCATGTCCGAGCAGGGCTCTCAAAGGATCCAAGAGGCCGTCTCATGAGCTCCACTTCGTTTTTCATAGAAGACAGGGTGGCAAACACTTCTTCCATTCCTTCAACTTCCTCCAGAGGCTGGTCTCCTTGGAGGGGCTCCTCCATGTCCAACTCTATATTGTCATCCCTAGGTGGGGCTGCTCTTCTTGTCCGTTCCGAGTGCCTTCGTCTCTTCCGCCTGCCTTCCATGATAGGAAGGGGCTCAATGATTGTTGCAGGCAGTCCCTAAGGGAAGCACAGAGATGTCAAAAAGGGGTCAAATAAAAAGAAAGAGGATAAAACCAGAACTGAGGTCACAAAGTGGATTATTGCAGGTACTCACTGGAAGTCCTGGGGGGCCAGCAGGACCCGGATCTCCTCTGGGACCAACGACACCCTGGGAAATAGAAGGGGACAAAACTTTATGTCAATCACGTCTCACCTGTAGCCTCTCTAGTGCCTCTAGGCTAAATTCTGACTTTATCCGGCCAGATATGGATGCCGCTTTAAAGGATTATCCAGCTGTGTGCATCAGCACGCTGTGGTCAAAGCCTTCACTCTCAAGACACACTATACTAGTTTTCATAACATCACACAAACCAGAGCCAAATCCTATTAAATAGGCCCAATGGAAAAATCAGACACAAGGCAAGCATGGCTGTACAGCAGGCTTTTAGTTCCAAAGACATGCCGTAAACACAGCAGAGTATTATGATTATGAAGCATGGTACATTTAAGCCAACAAAAGTACTTTCTCTCTCTTCCCCAGCATATGTTCCCAGCAGCTGCTTACGAAGCAGAGGTGTGAACACAGGAAGAGCAATGTATAAATAAGAGAAATTACTTAGCTCACCGTTTCTCCCTTCGATCCTTTCTGGCCAGCTGCACCCTAAGAGAGGAGATGATGAGTATGTTAGTACTATAAACATACATAAACTTTTAGCAGCTATTAAAGATTAGAAAATGATCTAATTACTCAAGAAAGCACTGCAAAATACTAATCAGGCACCGTCTCAATAGCAACAATAATCTGCAAGCCAGCTGCTATGTTGGGTCATAATAAGTTATTATTTATTATTTGTGCATTTCAAGCTTGTTGAAGTGTGTTTTACATTAATTTGTTGGAAATTATTTTAAGAAAAAGTATAAACAAGACAACATTTACTGACATAGCTGCATACAAATGCACATGCAAATACTAATGTATTGGCCTTAGCAAAATCTAAGGATCCACCATGTATGGCCACTCAAAACGATTATTTATACATGCATGCAGTAGATGAAAAAGAGGACACTGTCTTAAGGGCTGCTGTGTAACACTTACTGCGAGTCCAGGTGGTCCTGGTGGGCCAGTGGGTCCAGGAGGACCATTCATACCCTGGATATAAGCAAAGATTTATCATATCTTGTTTGTAGACTGACGTTCTGCATGTATTGGTGTTCCATGCTGCAACCATATATACCTCATCTCCTTTGGATCCTTGTGCACCCTGGTTTCCTGGCAGGCCTCTGTCTCCTTTCTCACCTGGTTCTCCCGGGGGGCCAATTAGACCAATCAGCCCACCATGGCCCTGCAAATAGAGACATGGTTCATCATCACTGTGTCATTATATTTAGACTGGTGCAAAACGGCCTCTCTGTCGAAAGCTAAACACTCACTTTATCGCCCTTGCTACCAGGATCTCCTCTTAATCCTGGGAGTCCTGGTGGCCCCTGTTTACACAGTCAAATGTATTATTTACATCAGTAATGTAGGGTGTACAAAATATAATTTATTCTGTTTTCATTATTTTATGAAAACCGATTCAAATATTAGCCACATATAAGAATCCTACTATTGGTCCAGGTGGTCCAGTCTGCCCTAGCGGTCCATTTAATCCTGGTTCACCCTGCACAAAAAACACACACAAAATATCAATGTGTATGGTATTCAAAGTCAATTTTAGTTTCCCAATATTATGCCACCTTTGAATAAAAATACAATTTTGCATCCATATACATACCGCTGGACCTGGAATGCCTCGAAACCCTTCTGGACCAGACCTTCCTGGCTGTCCTTGGGGTCCCACTGGGCCTGTCTTCCCCACTGATCCCGGGGGTCCACTTGTTCCCTACAGAGCAAGGAGACAGATGCAAGAGCAAGGCATCAATAGCAAAATAGATCAAAAAAGGATTCTTCAGAGAGATCACTGTTTTTTGAGCTTACCTTAGCTCCCTTCATGCCTTGCTTTCCTTCTTTTCCTGCAGCACCGACATGGCCCTGAAAAAAACAGCAGAGAATGGCATGAGCATGAGTATTATCTGCAAATAAACACTTCATATACCTATACATGCAAAAATATATATATACAATAAATATACTGTAAACTACGATTACCCTCCTTCCAGGTGGTCCTGGAGGACCAGGCTCTCCTGAAGCCCCTGGCGGTCCCTGCAGAAATAAAAGGAAAAAAAAGGAAAAAGAAATTCCCATCAGTTGGAAAGAAACTGGCAACCTTTACTTAATGTCACTGTGTCAACAAATGAACAAGATTTCAATTAATCTTATAAAAAATTAATGTTAAAAGAAACATTGCTGTTTACTGCTTTGCCGGGATCTCCACTATCTCCTTTAGGTCCTGATGCACCATCGACTCCCTGAACAAATCAATGTAATGTAAGAATAGAGACTAAAAAAAATCAACAACAACAACAAAAAAAAAACAAACAGAATACGACAGTAAATAGAAACATTAGCTCTGACCTTAACACCAGGCTCACCAGGGGGCCCTGCATCTCCAGGGAATCCAATAGGACCCTACAGGCAAAAGCAGTGAGTTAAAAAAGCATCATATGTGGCACTAAAGGACTAGCCGGCCTAATAGCAAGAAAGCAATAAAATGTCACTGATCTGCAGAGACTAACAAGGTTGCCTTTGGGTCCGTCTTCTCCTGGTGTTCCTCTGGGTCCAGGGGGGCCAGCTGCACCGGGAGGACCAGAATCCCCCTTTTCTCCGACATCGCCTTTGGGACCCTGAGACACGAGCAAATGTAATGACAATCCTTGAAAGGTTAAGGAGCCTAAGGAAAGATAAAATGAACTTAAAAAGACCAGAAGATGGCATAAAGGTAATGTGACTCACAGCAATGCCAGGCTCTCCAGCTGGTCCAGGGTCTCCAGCTTCTCCATCATCACCCTGATGGTGAGGGAAAAATTGATAACACTCTATACACACAAGTTCAAGTTTACACACACACAAACCTCTACTATTCTACTGTATGTGCATATGCACACACGTGTCTTTACTAATGGGAAACGCTGACCTTCTCTCCAACAAGTCCAGGCTGTCCGACTCCACCAGGCATTCCAGGTGGGCCCTGTGGCAGGAGGAGAGAGAACAGCTTGAACTGCAGCATCATAAAACAAGAGTGAGTTTCAAATATTCATCTGATTTTTGCAGCATTCTGCAGTATTTTGTGTTTGTTTGTCAGCAGTTTTCCCACAGAAGGCAGAAACTGGAACAACACAAGAAAATACTGTCAGATTTGCTGTGTGGATATTGTCTAAATCACAGAGGGTGGATATTGTATTTCTTCTCTTTCTGTCACTTGGTTTGTTTGTTTGTGCACGTATGTTATTATGCACACACATATGTCAGTGTACTTTGCCCTGTGTCTAGAGACAAACCCAGAAAAAAACATGTTTTTGGTAGAGTGCACAAGCCTGGGAGTTGAATACAGCCACGCACTACTACTGAACTCCTGCTGTCAACTGCTTTCCTCACATGCTGTCTCACCCCCATTTCACTCTTTCCCACTATTCCATGTACCGGTCCATTTATGGATCCAACCACCTCTGCACCGCTGTATTTCCAAGCTTCCTGTGATGAAGCAAAAGTGTGGCTCACATGCTTTTCTGCAACTTACTGCTAAATAATTGACTGGCATGAGAGGCTGTAGAGGGACGACCATTACTAGAGGTAAATATAACTGCCTCTCAAGGATAATAGTCTAATACTTCTTAATGATTCATAGAGCTGTAAATATAACTCTCTCCCAGGGATTATATCCTAATTCTATTTAATAATTCAAGTTTCAAAGGCAGCGTGGAAGGAAGTGCTGAAAAGAGACTGTATAGATGAAGGGCTGGAAAATACAAAGCATTGTGCTTTGTATTTCACCGCACGAGCTATTACATTGGTATTTTTGATAGTACTGTGTTTCTGTTATTTTAATGCTTGCACAAGGTGTGTGTTACTTCAGTATTTACAGACTACTTTTAAAATGTATTAAATGACAAAAATGTTAATGAAATCTTAATGACTAATTTTCCTAAAGGCCAGATCAAGAACAAAGAATAAATATTTTCAAAGCTCTGAAAATGATCTGAAAAGTTAAAGGATCATGGTACAATATGACAGAGTAATTATGAAAAGTAATGCACATCTATTCATCACGAGAGGCAAATTAGAATATCTGGTAATACTGATTATGCTGATTAGCATTACTAAATCAAGCAAACTGTGCTGGTGCATTTATTGTTTTAACTAATTTAACACTTGTTTCTTCACTTTGTGCATGTTCCAGTCCATGTTTTGCATGCATATGAACAGCTTTATAAACATTAAGACTAAGTCCTGAACAAAAATCTATCAGAGGATTTTGTAACCAAAAAAGATTTCAACTTTCAGGAGAAAATCATGAAGTGCCTGGAGCGGCTGGTCGAAGGTCACATCTGCTCCTCCCTCCCTGACACACTGGACCCTCTTCAGTTTGCCTATCGGACAAACAGAGCCACAGAGGATGCCATCGCCCTGGCAACGCACACCACCTTCACTCACCTGGAAAAAGGGAATACATATGCAAGGATGCTCTTCATCGACTACAGCTCGGCATTTAACACCATTATCCCCTCGAAACTTGCCATGAAGCTCGTCGACCTTGGGCTGGGAACACCGATCTGCAGATGGATTCTAAACTTCCTCACAAACAGGCCCCAGGTGGTGAGAGTTGGTAAGCACACCTCCTCACCACTCATCCTGAACACAGGTACGCCACAGGGTTGTGTGCTTAGCCCCCTCCTATATTCCCTGTTCACACACGACTGTGTTGCTAAACAAGAGTCCAACATCATCATCAAGTTTGC